TTAGAGGGACTGAGTCAAAGATTTCCTATATAATCTTTGATTTTTCACAGCTTTTAAAGAAACGTTGTGTGAGACTGAGTCTTTTAAGTCTTTATTTTAAAGTTGGATATTCATAACACAGCACTTGAATTAGCAATGTATATAAAATTAGCAATGAATGATTTCAGGATTTTTTTAATTGATATGTATTAGTTTTAACTAGCAGTTTGTTTCCTAGCAAAAGAAGTGGAAATGCTGTTGAAAAGCTTCCAACTAGATATTTATTGCCACCAGGGGAGCTGCTCTTGAACACGGGTCTTCAGTTCTCCTGCAGTACTCAAGCGTTTCTACTCAACTGGATTTTGTAATATAAGTACAGAGTTTTAGTCTCCACAATGCATCATGTATTATAACGCCCACACCCACAAACTGAGCAGTTATACTGGCATTTTGACAGAATGATTTGAATGTGAATAAATATGCAATATTTTTTATCTTAATTTTACTTTTCAGTTTTACCCTTGTATTTTTTTAAATTAAGAGTTTTACAAAGGATTTAAGAGTAACATTGTTTAACAATTCAATTTCTTTAAAAAGCATCAAGTACTGTTCATTCTTTCCTTACGCTTTTTTCTGTTCCTGTTAAAGGGAATCAGATGTTTAAAAGAGATCAATGCAACACAATCTGTTTTCTTCTGATTTCACTACCCATAAAATGAAAGTCAGTGATGGCTATATATACCACAAAAACATGACCTGCCTTTAACCTGCATGTAAGTCAAAAGACCCCCCATTTAACCTGCAGGAAAATACTAACTTACAGATACTAGCATTCAGGCAGTAGCCTCTGTTTTGAAGGCACTGAGCTATAGCATACTTCTAACACATTTTTACAGGAAACAGTAACTTGGACTTTAATAAACCCTCACAATTATTAAGTTACTTGGTTAGACATAGGAGAGTATCTTCTCAAATCAGAAATCTCAAAAGAAGTGTAATACAAATTCTTCAGTGGAGTGACACATTAAAAGAAGCACCAGAACATACAAAAAATAAATCAGCTGTGGGTATTCCTGCCTATAGGTTTTACTTTTAAGGAAAAAAATTCCATTTCATAATTAAAATCTATTTGCATACATTCTTCCTTTCTTATGAAAATGTCTTTATAAAGTAGAAATTAACCAAATGATGTGCAAACACCTGCATCTTAAAAAGACTTACTATACCATCATAATATAGTTGGCATGGTAAACAGAGTCAGTAAGTAGGCAGGGGTATTTAGAACCTGTTCCTAGAGGCATGAACATCTTAATCATGATAAAAACCATGAGTCGAAGTATCAGTATCAGACACAAAAATGGAAAAGAGCAAGACTTTTAGGATTATATGAAAATTCATAAAGCATACACAGATTATAACATTTTAAAAACAAAGTAAGAGAGAGCTAGAAAACTACTCTCCTTTTTGTAATTTTGCCTACACCTAAGGATCCATGTCGACCTGTTTTAGTCACAGCAGTGTTCAAAACAACTGCTTTTTTAAAAGCTAAGGAGGAGGAGAAGAAAGCATTAACTTTTTTACTGCATTCACTGAGTAAAAATAAGTTTCAAATCTTTTTGCACAGTGGACTGGTAGCTAGGAGCAGAATCACAGCAATGAAATGTTCAATTTATGTTGTGTGGCTTTGTGGAGCATAGAGTGCAACAGCTCCCTGAATAGAAGGGGATCACATAGAAGTAAAAATGAAGAGTGTAACTTTGTTCAGTTTTCAAAATGCTGTGTAATATGCCTCCAGTAAATTAGGAAGCAGACTGTGATTGATAACTGCTGTTGGAAAACCTGTTTTACTCTTTCAAAATCTACGTGATCTAAACATAACCATGCATACTATTCCAGCACAGTCTGCTTCATTTTAAACCCTTTATTACTTTACAGGCAGCATCACTTATATGTTAAGTGGAGCACTTCAATGCTTGCACACTCTAAATCAGTGGTCTCCAAAGCAGGGTGCATGCACAGTGGGGTGCAGGAAGAAAATATCAGTAATGCACTAGTACATATATATAGTTTGTATTTAAAAACAAATATACATTGGCAGTGCATGCTCAGTATTTTACTGATAGAAATTTTTGACTGATAGTACTGCGTGATCAAAAATGTTTGTATACCACTGTTCTGAATATATCAGTATGAATTCTTCTTTTCTAGTAGCTTCCCCATCCCCATTTTTTCATTTTTGATTTGCTAGATTCCAACCTGAGAAACCTCAAGAATCAATGGTGTCAGATTCAAATATGTCAACTTATTCCCTCATCCTTCTTATCAAGAAATACCAAACTTAGAGGATTTACATGAGGCTATTTTCTAGATTACTGTCTAAATGTATACTACTGACAGGATGTGAGCTTCCTTCTCCTCTACTTCTAGTAAAATATGTAAGAAAACAATCTCTCAAACAACTTTTCATTATTTTTTAAACTATCCTGGATTTTTAAACTATATGACTTTCTATACTTCTCTTAGCATCATGCTGCTACAGTAGGTGCACCAGTAAGTATAGGTCCTGGCATGATACTGAGAGCACACAAAACGTTTTAACGGGTCAGGCAAGAGAGTCCCCCCAGGCTCAGCAGTAGGAAGAGTAAATGCTATTCAGTAAGAGAAACCAAGCCTGGCCACTTTCTGTATCCTTTCCCCTTAGGGTGAATCTCTCAGGCTCACAACCCTGCCACAAGATGGCACTGGGGCCAGGAGCTGCCACAATAATGGAGAAGGTATGTATTCAAAGCAGTGACAGCAGTGCACCTGCACAAAAAAGAACCTGGTTCTTTCAGCAGCTGTTTACGGACCAGTGGTCCATAGGGTTTTTTATAACTTTAAGTCTGCTAATGTAATTTGCCCACTGGATAGTGCTTTGACTGCTGGTTCCCTATTTTTACCTGTCACATAATACTTTATCTGTTTTAAACTAGCTAATACCATTAAGTAATCATTAGTTCCATCACTGAATCTGGCATATTTTATTCTGTATTTACCTTATTTACTGTCATATTAGAAACCTCAGTCATGCTCCTGATAAGCATTCTGCTCCCCAAACTGAAGAGCCATTTAATCTATTATATCAAGGAAGCTGCCTCCTCCCTGTTCTTCTAGTTGCCTTTCTCCATACACTCACCAATTTCACTGTGAAATGTTGTCCTTGAGATGCCCACCAGAACTGCACTCTAATATTCGAGATGCAGGTTCACTATGGTTATATATAGTAATAGAACAGTGGCTCCTGCCCTGTCTGTAACAGTGGTTATGTCCAACATTTTGTTGATATAATTTTTGCCTCCTGCTGTGCAATGAAAGATGGCATTAGAGCACTGTCGGTCACGATGCCAGTATCTTTCCCGAGTTTTACAAATTAATTCCAAATTCAGGATTGCTCAAGCACAGTTGAAGGAGATCCTTTTTGTCAGATGCATTAACTCCTATTTATCTATCCTGACACTCGCCTACCATCTTTTGCCCACTAATTACATTCTGTAAGATGTTTCTGTAGTTCCCTGACACCTGTTATCTTCCCAGTAAGTGCTATGGAGTACCATCCACAAACTGAGAAATTTCACTTTTTACTCTCATTCTGCAGGTCATGGTAATATATTGAATAAAACTTGACACAACTACCAGCTGTCTGTCCATCCTAACAAGCTACTTTTCTTCTTGAAAATCCCCTCTCTCACAGAAGCCTTGTCAGTGCAAAAGGACACAGTGAAGACAGATAGAGGTTTGGTTTCCACTTAGGTATCAGTTCCCTTTTTCCTACTGCATGTTCTCCTTCCCCCCAGATTTATGCTCTCCTTAGCAACACAGGAATGTCACAGTGGAACTGGGACAGTCATTGGGACTGATGGAACCAACATTACTGCTGGTTTCATCTAAAAACCTCTCAACTAGCCCAATCATCTCAAGCCAAACTATCTCTCATCAAAAGCTCTCTTCACTAACTACGCACTTACAGGCATGATGCCAGGGCATCTTATGAGACCTACACATGTCCTCTGCAACAAACTAAGCTCCATTCAGTTGCTAGACTTCTATCCATATCCCATGGTTAACACTGTACCAGAAATTATAAACCTAGGGTAGTTTAACACTTGAACACAACAACTGGCAGGAATTTTACCGAAGAATTACAGGTTTCATGTATCAGTTTTATATCTGAGATTCAATAAATGAATAAAAAGGCTTAAAAGTTCAGCTGCAAAGGTCAGTGAGGGAAAGTTATGCTAAAGAGCTAAAGCAGTTTCTTCTTCAAAATTTTCAGGTTGCTTCACATTACTGAACCTTTTGGTCCTAAGGAATCATACTGATTTACTGCTACACCACTGCAGCTTGTCCAGAGGGCCATCTGCAGAAGTCCAGAGGTTTCCTGACACTAAGTAACTTTCAGGATAGGATCTGCTACTAGCTCCCCACATCTTACAGTGCTGTACAGTAATAATAACCACTTTGAGTTGGCTACCAGGTCTTGCTGGCAATTTGCATGTCAAAAGACTTTTAACAGATAAAACAGCAACCTCTTCCCTGTAAATATACCAGATCCCAGTCTCAGAAAGATTCACTTTCTTCCTGGAAATTCACTAATTTAGTGCAAGTATTTTTTAAATTCAGATAATTAGGTATCTCCTAAAGTACTTCATCTCTGAATTGGACATTTCATTGAAAAAAGTACTTTTCTAACCTATTCTTTTCAACATAAATACATTCTAGACCTTCTTCTCTATAAGCTATCTAAAGACTGCCATCAGCACTGGCAAATCTAATCTACCTAAAAAAAAAATACTCATTTCCTCAGTAAATTCTCTTTTCCTACAACTATTCTGTGGAAATATAATGGAGACATTTAAAAACCACACCACACTGGTTTTAACAGGCATAAGTCCTGCTAGTGAAATCGGGGCCGGGGGGAGAAGGGGGGAAGATCGGGATGGTGGTGTACTATATTTGTATGTACAAGTTATAGTATTGTGTACCTTCTATCATTTCCATACCACTAGGAGGTTTACAATGTCCGGCATGGCTCACAACCCAAACGGGATACTGCTGATTTAGTCCACAATATAAGGCCTGTATAAAGGTCCTGTAATAACCTGCCAGTCCAGGGTTACCTGCCAAAAAACAAAACATACAAGCAGAGTCAATATTAACCTTCCAACAGCAAACAATCTGCTTCTAAGCAAACTAAACAGCATTATACAGCAATTTGTTAATTTATTTTCTGCAGTATGTTTCCAATTTTTATTTTCCCATTTTCAGGGGCTATGCTGTTCAACTAGTTTAATTACATTGATCAATGGCACCCTTGAGAAGCATTTTACAAAATTACTGTGAAATTGCAGAACCTAATATCAAAGCCCAACATAAAGAGTAAATCTCCTTTTCTATTAGAGGTCAGCCAACTTGCCTATCAATCCTATTACATTATAGATACATGAAAATTGGGCAAAGAAACCCTCAGATTTTATAAAAATATCACAAAGACTATAGCATATATCACTTGATCCAGATGTCTGTCCTTCAAAACAGGTATGTGGTATTCTGACAATATAGAGGTCTGTACTGACCCTAAAAGAGAGGATGATTTTATTTTAAAGTCACTGGACTAGAATTTTTCTGCTTGCAACTTCATATACTTGCTGACCTTCTCCACACCGCTTGAGAACCTCTTTACTTTTCAACTTCTGAGCTCTAGATCCATGGAAGAATCTGTCCTCCATCCTGCATCTCATCAGCTTTAGAGAGAAGCTCTCAAAAGCAGCTGGTGTCTAAACGAATCCAGCTTGCCCTAATGGAGCAGACCGCATAGCTCTAAATCCACTGTTTAACAGTGACAACATCAGGTACCGCTGCTGAAGTGGAAACTGTAATACTGTCCCAAAGATAAAAAATATGTATCAGTAGTGATTTTAGCATTTCTGAACAGAATTCTAATATCTACTCCTCCTTTTATACTTTCTTGTTTGGGTATCAGTAATGACTTAATGTGGAGAGTGCATCCATATGAAGCGGATTTTGTTTTCCAATTCCTACAGGATACATAAAAATTCCATAAAGACATAAAAACATATAGCTTCTCTCAATTTATTAATTTTCCAGAGTAGTTCCACTCATTTCCTATTATCATTTAGACACCTGTAAAACCATCTATCATCGTCAGGATTGCTCCGTTACATGTTTTTCACTCACAATACTAGGCATTTCTTTGGATATCATGAACAGCAAAAGGCATCAAGAGCAGTACTGTGTAAAAAGGCATTCACATTCCAAAGTAACACAAATACATTGTTGAAAGGGTATGAGAAAAAAAAAAAACCCAAACACTAAAATCATGCAAACTCCTTTATATCAAGTCCAATGTAATCACAGGGGCTGAGCTGTGTAAGTATTGATAGTGACAGAGAAGAAGAATCAGAGCTGTAATCAAATCAGTACTTGCGGAAATGGTGTGAGAAGATATAAAGTAAGTTTCTTTCACTCTTCCCTTTCTGTAGTGGACATTTTCATTTTGCCTTCTTTTACTTCAACGGTTTTGCTCTCCAGGTAACACCCAGTAATACGTTCATTGCTCTCCCAAGAAGTATTCCCTCAGCCCAGGGCTTATGAACACAGCCTACACCTCACCATGGAGCAGCAGTGCAGCAGGCACCCAAAGCCACTGCCAGCACTGACATGTGAGAACAAGCTGGTGCCATGGCTCAACCAGAGATGATACATGGGCAGAAGAGGGAAGCCTTCCACTCTAGGTAACATATCATTCATGCTTCATCCTTCACTTATATGGAAAGTGTCTCTGATGTTTTTTGAATCTTAATAATATTACTGATTTTATTACTGCAATTAATAATAATAATAAAAAAATCTTATTTTTACTGGAATACACAGACTGGGGGGAGAAAAGGGGAAGAAAACAAACAAACAAACAAACAAACAAAAAACCCAACCAAACCACCAAAACCCAAACCCCACAGTAAATTTTGTGTATATATAAACTCCAAAATGCATTATCAAATTTTTGCAAACTGATTTCCAGAAAAACAACTTAAAATTCACAGGGTTCACACGCCCATACAATTGCATCAAAAATATGTAAAACAGAAGGCCTCAGGGACAATAAAATAAGATCTAGACATCATCTGTCAAGCTCCTTGGATTGATGTTACATAAAGGAAATTTGTCTTTCAGCAAGATTGAAGATGAACGTAGCAGCAACCCAAAATAAAGTATGTCTTTTGTAGAGTAAATGAACATGATGTTTTGGCACTATGCTTAGTCCAGGAATATAATGCTATTAGGTGTTCTGAGATCAAGGAATCGTTAACTTAATCTCAAATCCAGCCTTTTTTCTTTACTATTTTCTCTCCTTTAATAATGCAAAACAAGGAAAGGAGGAGAAATGGCAAGAGCCGTCTTAGACATTTTGGTGCTCTGTCCCATCATCAGCCAGGTGAACCAAACATGTAAATATTCTCAGCATTCAGTCACCAGCTGAAGAGCAGTGAAGTAAGAACTGCTTATGAACAGTGAGGCTTTGCATCAAATACTATACAAAGTTCAAGGCACTCTTTACTTTTTTTTTGAAGGAAAGGGGATTTTTATCCTATAATAAATGTGATCTGTATTTTAGGCAGATAAAATTAAAAAATGAATACAAAAGAAACCATTTTCCCTGCTCTTCATAAACTCATGGTAAAAGCCATTCTGAGGGGTCAGCTGTTAGAGCCGCTACTGATACTTTAAAATGCCTTGAAGGAGTATGAGTGAGAACTGCTGGCACAAATGGAAAGGAAAAATCAAAGATTTTAACAGCAAAGATTTCTACAGAGAAATCACCACGTGTAAAGCAGCCATAAATTTATTCTTTATTGAACTTTCAATTGCAAGAGTTATTCCAGATTTTCACTGACTTAAGTAAATGCAGATTAATAGTCCCTGCTCTTGAAAGCTTGCATCTACAATATTTATAAGTGGAGAATGTTTTACCTCCTAATATAGCTCTGCAAAGTCAGACATTTTATATGTTTTTACTTTAGTTGCTCACTTCAAAATACTTTAATGGGAACAAACAAAAAACATAAACAGATAAAGATTGTTTTCATGGAGTTAATGTAACTGCTAATGGAAATAACCAGGGCTTAATACACACAGCAATTTGTGGTCAACAATATTCTGGGCTTATCTACTGCAGTTGAAATGCTGTTCAATTAAACTATTTTATTTTATAGAAAGAGAACTACCAGGTTCGTCATGAAGACGCCCAGCAGTGCTCAGTTGGGCATTCTCAGGACTTTCCAGTACATTAAACCAAAACTGCCCCTGTTCTTCCACTCCGCAACCAAGTGTTAAAAACCGGAAACCATAAGTAAATGTTAACCTCCCTGATTTGAAAGTTGTTACTCCAGTTATTTGAATACCACATTAATCCTCAGACACCTCAGGGCACGTGAATCATTCACACGTGCCAGCAAATCTCAAATGGCAGTCATCTGAACCAAAGAGCACATCTTAAGCAGTTCCTCTCAACTGTGCTTAATTTTCCACAGTGTTTATGTTGTTTCAAAACTCTTAAACAATAGCTGTAAATGGTGACACAATAGAAAGACACAAAACTACAACATGCTGCATATTAGCTTAATTTGCAAGATTTATAAGCATGTCATGGGAAAAGTATGTCAAATGGACAATTTGGAGTGACTTCAAATACAGTGAGGACACTTTATTTGGTGCATTCGTAAGTTTCAGTAACTAAATCACTCCTGCGACCTTCCCTGTAATACACGCAACATGCAGTATTTCATACAGTTATTCTACAGTAAGCTTAAAGTCTTTCCATTTTTTCATTTGAAGACGAGAATCCATTTCCTTTTCTGACCCGCTCCACCCACAGCTAAAGGCAAAATGGTACAGAACTGACTATGCAGAGGAGTAACTTTGAGCTACACTGGGAGGTAAAAATTCACCACTTCTATATACTGCTGATACAGGCTTTTGAGAACTGGAACCACTACTCTTTAATCATCCACATAGTTAAAAATACCAAAACTTTCAAACACTTTCTTGTTAATGCTTTTTCCATCAAAACAAGATTTTAAATGCCAACCGCTTCCTTCTTACGAAGATACCTAACAGTGGAGAGAAAACAAATATCTGCCCAGGACATCACTACTACAGAATAACTTTTATCCTGATTTCACATGATTTCCTATACAATGTGTTATAAAGTCAAGCTTGGCCTGTCTTAAAATGAAATACATAATAATATTTGAGATGCTGCCCTTACAAAAAGGTTTTGACTTGGGAAGATTAAACTCACATACGGTGCACTTCAATCATCTTAATTCTGAATGCAAAACAACAAACATATAATGCTCGTTTAAAAAGTCACAGACCACAGCTACTCCCCACAAGGTATGACAGCTTTTGCAGCCTTCAAAAGGTCAAGCATTTTGAATTCTTCTGCAACAGAAAATATGAATGTAAAATATCAAGACCACACTAGCATTAGATAACACAATGCAAAAGTAATTCCCAGACTTCCTGAGGAATGTCAATGTAAACCACAACAGCAAAACGCTTCAAGTTAGGAACAAAGATATACACCAAAACACACAGCAAAAGCCTTCTGTCCAGAAAACAGTAGGTCAAAAATATATGCAGCTTACTCAAATGAAATTGAGACAAAACCAACTGAAAACAAAAATAAAATGAAAACAACTCTCAGCAGTTTTGCGAGGGGTATCTAAATTGAGAAGGATTTATTTAGGCAATCTATAGTAAATGCCAAGAGTGGTGGGGAGTGAAGCTCAGGAGCGTGCAGCTAAATCACTCAAAGAGCGATGAGGTTTCTTGCACCTTGTTTTGAAACAAGCTTTTGGGTTCTGTGCACCATCCTACAAGTCATTACCCAGTGATTTCAATTGTGTCTCCAGGAGTCTGACCATCTGGGGGAGTAGTAGCTGGCATTCAGCTGTGGTGCTTCATGCACTTCTCTAGGAGTTGCTCTCTGCTCTGGGCCCTCAGCAGGACCATAAGGAATAAAGGCAGCTACATGGACAGAAGGGAAATACACAGCCAACAGTGGGTTTACAAAGAACTTTTGAGGAACTAGAGA